ATTATCATTGAACAGCCCGCCACCATTTATTTGCCTCATCTGCTCACTCATAACACGCTGGCATCTGCTCTTCTCATGCTCTGTTATCAGGAGGCTTGAGCTCCTGTAATAATACATGACAGTGACGATGGAAATAATAATTTCTTACGGAGCATTTACTATGTGCCAGGCTCTGAAGTCGTGCTTCCCATGCATTTACTCATTCATGCCTTATACTCACCCTGTGAGGTAAGGACTATCGTTACCGCATCTCTGCCGAGGCACAGAGAGGAAAGGTGACTTGCCCAAAGTCACACAGCCAGGGAGCGACAGCTGCAGCAGAGTAGACCTCAGTAAGTGTTTGTTGCATGGATCGATGGATCTTAACTTCTGGAAGCAGGTGCTGGCAGGCCTGGCTGTGCAGACAAGGCAGGACCTTCTCCTCGACAAATTGCAAGTCTCTCTGGTGACCGGTTTGGGACCTGCCTGCCCCTCCCCCAGTCAGGGTTTCTATTAGTTCGCTCTCGCTACTGTAGTAAACGCCACAAGACTAACAGCTTGGAATGGCACACATTTATTATTTCACAGTTCTGGAGGTCAAAAGTCCAACATGGGTCTCACCGGGCTTAAAGATATCTACATCTTAATCCCCAGGACCTGCAAATATGTTACTGATGGGGCAAAAGGAACTCTGCAGATGTGATTAAGGATCTTAAAATTCAAAGAGTATCCTGGATTACCCAGCAGGCTCAGTGGAATCACAAGGGTCCTTATAAGAGGGAGGCAGGAGAGTCAGGGAAGGAGATGTGAGGACGGAAGCAGAGGTCAGAGTAATGCAGCCACCAGCCAAGGAGTGTGGGCAGCCCCTAGGGACTGGAAACAGATTCTCTCTCCAAGAGTCTCCAGCAGGAGTGCAGCCCTGACAATGCATTGCTTTTAGCCCCTAAGATCCACTTGGCACTTCTGGCCTCCAGAACTACAAGATAATACATGTGTTCTTTTAAGCCACTACATTTGTGTGTTTTGTTACAGCAGCCCTAGGAGACTCATTTATGGTCACAGGTCATCCCTTTATCAGAAAAATATGGCAGGTGGCAGTCTTTCAGAAGAGAGCGAGGATGGGCTGGCTTAGGCTGTCCTGTATCCCAGACTTAGAAGAGGCTAGAAAGGGATGGGGGCCTGGCTATATTCTCTGATTAGCTGAGGTCAAGTGTACACAACAGGGGAAATATTGTGGGCAGGAAGGCAGTGGCATTAAGTTAAAAGGGAATTAGGACTTTACCAAGCCCTGTGGAAGGACTCATTTGAATACCCTGGGCCAGGATGCCTGGACAAAGTGACAGTGCTGATAGAAGGCACTGAGGCTGTGGAAAGCACACTGGCCTGCCATTGGCTGGCCCTGCGAGCTCAGACTCTTTCCTCCCTTTTCTGGGTCTCTTGTGGGTGACTTCTTAAGATAATAATCATGATAACAGCAAGCACTTAAATGGGACTTGCTTGCCTTATAAATGTAAATTGACATGTTCAGTACCCATAACAAACCAATAGGTAGGTTCTATCATCTTTATTTCACAGATGAGGGAATTGAGGCCCAGAGAGGTTAAGAAACTTGCTGAAGGTCACCCAGCAGGGACGTGGTAAATTCTTGATTGGAACCCATGCACTCCAGATCCAAAGAGAGCTGAGAGGTAGGGGAACAGGTTGGGGGAGATTTGGCCAGAGATGTTAAATCGAGATAAGTAATAAAGAGCTGGGGGAGGTGGGGAGACAGAGAGAGAGAGGAGGGGAAAAAGCCAGCAGGAGCTTGAAAGGTGATTTTGGTATCTTGTCTATGAGAGGTGCTGGAGCAGCTGTGAGGTCTGAGAGAGCTGGGGAGTCAGGTGAAGGGGGCAGAGGGTCTCCATCACTAGCAGGCGCCCTGGGGTCTCTTGGAGTGGGCGGAGTGTGGTGACTGGGCCTTGCGGGGCCACAGCAATTATTTGGGTTACACTTATAGACGCACTATGGGAAACTGATCTGATTGAAGCTGCCATGGTGAGGCAGAATCTCATCCCTCCCTGCCATCTTCTTTGTCTCCCGCCCCCCAATTCCAGCCCCCTTAATCATTCATGCAGAGCCCTCAGGTTTCAGGCAATACCCTTTGTAAAGTGCTACCCTAGACCGGCTCCATTCCATCAGCCCCTCTGCTCCTGCCTGGATTCCTCCCACTGCCCGGGCTGCAGAAAGCCCACAGAGGTCCCCCCACTCCTGCCACCCGCCTCCAGGTAGCTTCAGAAGACTCAAGCTCGGACTTCCTCACAGATCCTTGCACCAGAACCCGGAGTCTCTGTTAAGTGCACATTCCAACCAGCAAGGTGACTTGAGCAAGCCTCTTCCCTAGACCTCCAGGCCTCATCTGCAAAATGGAGCTGAAAATAATAACTCCATTCTGGAAGCCAAGAGATTGGGCCTCAGAACCTCTTAAGAAAATTAGGAAGAGCCAGCGTACACTGAGCGCCTACTTGAGAAGATGCTTTTGCAATTTTCGCCGTCACCGCTTTCACTGTACTCATTTGACCAGGGAGAAAACTGAGGCCCAGAGAGGTGAAGTGACTGCCCAAGGACACACAGCAAGGCAGTGCAGAGCTGAAGCCAGGACGCAGGCCCTAGAACTGGGCCTCTTCCTCTTTATCCCGACCATGCTGTCAAACCCACAGAAGGAGGCTGCCCTGTGCCTTCCGGCGTGCCTCTCCCCCAACCCCCTCTCCTTCTCATATATTTTACAAACAAGGAAACTGAGGCTCAGAGGCACAAAGTCACCTGTCCAAGGCCACGCATCCACTTACATGGGAACCAGAGATCCAGGTGTGTACGACTCCAAGCTCACGCCACTTCCGGGTCCGTCACAGAGCCTCCGGGACTCCCATCCAGCGCTCGGATGCTGGGTTTCTCTGCACCTGTCCCAGGCCTGGGCTAGTTCAAAGCAGTTCCTCCTGCAGCCTCAACGTGAGCACACCCCACCCCCCATCATCAGCACATCCCGAGGAGCTTCCGGGATGCCTAGGACAGGTAGCCGCAGATGCCCCAGCCCTAAGGTGCCCTCCGCTCCTTCCGAGTTTTGCTCCTCCTTGGAAGGGAGGGCGGACAGCTGTCCTTGCCTTCCAGGCGGTTGGCAGAGCGGCGGCTGCTCCTGCCTGCTGTCTGGCTGATGGAGAGATTATTTCTAAGCCCTTCCCATCCTCCCACCCCCTTCTCTTGCAGGACCACACTGGCTTTCCCGGTGGGACTCAGAGTGCAGAGCCCACCGCTGAAGCAGGACAGCTGGCCCGGCTCCCTCCCAGCACGCATCCCTCAGACCCTCACCTCTCATGGGGAAAAGGGATTCTGGGAAAGGGGATTTGAAAAAAAAAAAAACCACCCCACTCCTCCTGGGCTTTTCTGCAGCTGCTGGAGAGAGAGCTGCAGAATGAACGGACTTCTGGTTTCTGAAGGAGGCGAGGAAAGGAAGGTTGAAAACTAACTCGGCCAGAAACTGCTGTGTTCGGGCTTTCTCTTTTCTCCTCCTTCATCCTCACCACAAACCTGTCTCTTCCCTGGGCATCGGGACATGGGCTCCCCTTGCCCGGCAGACAAACAGCTGGAAAGAGTCTCCCTGAGACAGGAGGGTGAGTTAAACTTCGGGGGAAGAAGTTAGTGTTTGCTGCAGTCGTGGGGGCTGCGGATCGCACGGTGCTCTTAAACATCCTTTGTCAAAGCACCGTGTTGAGTGAACACCTTTCCCACGCTCTGGAAGGACATTTGTGTGCTGGCTACTTCTGGGGGGCAGTGGGTTACAAAGTTGGGTTTGTGCAGTGAATTCGGAAAGAGCACTTTGGGGGGTTCTAGAAAGAGCCTCCGGCTGGGAGACAGAGTCCCTGGTTGCACTGGGACTCGCTGTGTGACCTGGGATGAGTCACTTCAGCTCTCTGGCTCTGCGTCTTTTCACTCGGAAAACAAGAACGCTTGGGAAGCGGCTCCCCTGATCTCAAAATACGCTTCTTTCTGCAGGTTGCTCATCGTTCTCTGGCCGTACATTGTAAACGAAGTAACGCATGCAGAATAACAGACGATTGTGTGGCGAGCAAGTGTGAAATGCATCGGCTGTGATGCAACTCTCCGCTGTCTGCTGGAACCCAACTGCCTCTGAAATTGAGAGGAACTTTTATTTCCATTCAGCTGATGAGTTTTTCTCGTGATTGGAGTGCATCTTGGAATGTAAGGTTATGGACGCTTTGGAAACAGCTCTGGCTAGAATGAATAGCACAGGAAACAGTTGCGGGAGGCTGAGGGTGAGAAATATTGTGGCGATGATTTTTTTTAATGCATGGGCTAAATCTAAAACCCTTCCCTGTAAGTCAAGCATCCCAAATAGGTCTGAAATGAAGAGAGCGTTAGAGGCCCCTTCATTTCACAGATAACAAGACCGAGGCCCAGAGAGGGGGAGTAACTAACTCAAGGTCACACAGCAAGGTGGCTGAGGAAAGCACCCAATGAACACAGAGGAGTGCTCTCATTGATAGCAAAGTCCTCTGAGTAGGAAAGCAAATAAGAGGGCTCAGCTGATCGTTGTGGAGCTTCTCCTGGGAGTCAGACACTGTGCCACATACAGTTCCTCGTTACTTAACTTTTCTGGGCCTCAATTTCCTCATCTGTAGCATGGGTATACTAATGTCTACCTCATGGGGTTGTTGAGATGAGTTAACATAGGAGAGGCATGTGGGTCAGTGCCTGCCATGTCAGAAGCATCTAGAAGTGTTCTTAATATACACTTCACGTGTGTTACTGCACGTAACCCTCACTGTGTCCAGTGAGGTGGGCACGCAAACTACCCTAGCTGTGCAGATGAAGCAAAGGGCTCAGAGAGGCTGAGAAACCTACCTGGGGTGGCAGTCCGTAAGGGATCGCAGTTCACCTGGCAGTGAACTTGACAAAGTTTTACACCCTAAGCTCTATTTTCAACAACCGTACTTTGCAAAGTTGGGACGAGTCTTGTCATTGCCATAATGATGCTGAGATCAGAGAGGTTAAGCTACATACCCAAGACCACATAGCCTGAAAGTGACACAGCTGTTCCAGGGAGATTCTTCTGAGATATAAATAAATGCTCTATCAGGGAAGGGATGTCGTCATCATCTCTTTTTGTTCACTGATAGATCCCAAGCGCATAGTGGTAGGTGCTCGGTAAATCTGTGTTGGATGGAAGATTAAGAGAATAAATGATGCAGGTGCAGTTGCAGGAAAGCAGACATGAGGAGATGCTGTCTAGGACTCTGCCCTGAGACTGATGTCTCCCCGTTCTCTTGCTCTTGTCCCTTTTGGGTGCCAGGACGTCTTCGGTGATACCCATGCCTTCCAGAGACAGGGGCCTGCATCCCAGACACCATCACCTCGGCTCCTGCGGCCCTTTGAGTCAGTTCTTGCCACGGCCCGTGGAGCCCCCGTCCATCAAGGGCATTTACTACCGCAGGGCCCGGAAGCTGGGAGCGCAGGACGCCTCCTGGACGGCGGACCTGAAGAAGGAGATGCTGGTCAACGTGGGGGGCAAGCGGTACCTCCTTCCGTGGAGCACGCTGGACGAGTTTCCACTGAGCCGCCTGAGCAAACTCCGCTTCTGCCAGAGCCACGAAGAGATCGCTCAGCTCTGCGACGATTACGACGAGGATAACCAAGAGTTCTTCTTTGACCGGAGCCCCAGCGCTTTCGGGGTGATCGCAAGCTTCCTGGCGGCAGGCAAGCTTGCCCTCCTCCAGGAGATGTGCGTGCTGTCCTTCCAGGAGGAGCTGACCTACTGGGGGATCGAAGAAGCCAATCTGGAGACGTGCTGCCTGCAGACACTGCTGAGGAAGCTGGACGAAGTGGCCGAGCTGCGCACGGAGGAGACGCTGCAGTGTCGGGCAGCCGGCCGCCCCACCGTGCACACGTCCCGCTGGGCGCTCTTCATGAACCGGCTGCAGGAGATGGTGGAGAACCCGCAGTCGGGGCTCCCCGGAAAGATCTTTGCTTGTCTGTCCATCCTCTTCGTGGCCACCATGGCCGTCAGCCTGTGCGTTAGCACCATGCCGGACCTGAGGGCAGAGGAGGACAAGGTGAGTGTTCCGTCTCTCTATCGGGCGTGGTGCCCGGGACCCGCGGCACTGAGGGCCCACGAAAACGTTTAATATCGTTGCAAACAAGAAGGAAAGAGGGACTTCCCTGGCGGTCCAGTGGTTAAGACTCTGCCCTTTCAATGCAGGGGGCGTGGGTTCGATCTCCGGTCAGGGAACTAAGATCCCACACGCCACACAGCCAAAAAAAAGAAAGAAAGAAAGAAATGAATATGATCCAGTGTGAACTGTACTCATTTTCACACCGATGCAGTAGTAAAAGATAATTTTATACATTTTTTTTTGAAGAAGGAAGCACATAAAGGGCACCCATGAAAGTCATGAGGGGCCCTGCCTCTGATAGAGAGCCCCAGGCACTGACAAATCCACCGTGGTCTTAGTGAGCTGAGCTGGCCCAGCCCAGCCTCTCCTGGCTCTGTGACCACTGGCGAATTGCTCCGCCTCTCTGAGCCTCAGTTTCCTCCTCTGTAAGACGGCTCACATCACTATGAAGGTGCACACAGTCCATGCACCCATCGCATGTTAACTGAGCAGCTACTCTGTGCCAGGCACTAGACCAGAGCCGGATTCCCTAGCTCCTTAAGCCAACCTTCTCGTGGGCATCTCAGCTCCATTGTCAGATGAATAAACTGCAGCTCAGGCCGCTTAGCTTCCTAGGAGTAACCAAGTGAAGATGCCGATGATGACAGAGACTCTCGGCCCTTGTTCCTGAGCCTCCCAGTCAGTCCCACCGGTTGGGGAACTCACAGCTGAGTTAATTTGGAAGCGACCCTGCCCCAGGAGGCCAGGGCAGAAACGTTTGCTTGCCCACTCCTGCCCTGTCTTTCTGGGAAGCTGTGGGAGACTGCCCACACCCCCCAGGGGGCCAGATGGTCTGAGAAATGAGATAAGAATCTAACATTTTGTTGGGAAGGTTATTGGAGAGCTTCAAACTGAGAACTGGATTGTTTCCTAAGTTAAAATGTTGCTCTATAATCCTCATGGCTCCACAGCACCTAACTTATGGAGCTTACATTATAGCAGAGAGAGAGCCGATAAAGAAGACATATACATACGGCAGTGCAGGCTGTATATGGTTTATAACTGGTGTCGGTTGACCTAAGTTCCCTTCTCCTAAACATATATCCCAGGGCTTCCCTGGTGGCGCAGTGGTTGAGGGTCTGCCTGCCGATGCAGGGGACGCGGGTTCGTGCCCTGGTCCGGGAGGATCCCACATGCCACGGAGCGGCTGGACCTATGAGCCATGGTCGCTGAGGCTGCGCGTCCGGATCCTGTGCTCCGTAACGGGAGAGGCCACAGCAGTGAGAGGCCCGTGTACCGCAAAAAAAACAAAAAAAAACATATATCCCAGGGAGGATCAGAGAACTTTCCAGATAGAGAGGACTTAGATGGAGAACTAGCCAGTGCTTCACACCCGGAGTAGGCTGTCAATAAATTTTTGCTGAATAAAATGTATCTTGTTCAACCTATTAATATTTTGTCCTAAAGGAAACCAACCAAAACGTTTCGAGTTTCAAACAGCTTTTTTCCCCATAGAGAGGACTGTAGCTCTGATTGTCGGAATTTCTTTCACTCTTTAGAACGAAATCATGTAATTTAATAGCCTGGTTGTTTACAGAAATATTTACATGTGGACGCTGTAGTAAAAAGATTAGGACAAAGTAAGGGGCCTCCGTCCCCTGTCCCCTAAGGGTGCCCTTGATCCCCGTTGCTGAGGAAGGACCCCTGGATTTTTCACAAGCCTGTTCCTCTTAGGGATGGATTTTCAGGGAGCCGGGATTTAGATTGTGCAGAGGGACAAGCTCTTTTCAAAGCCTAATGCTTTGAAAATTACCCAGGGTACGAACACAGGTTGGTGTAACAGGGACTTGGAAAATTAAATTAGAGGTGGGTAAGGGGCCCGCAGAACCGGGGAATCAGGCAGCCATTTCTACTCGTGGGTCAAGGGAGGTGATGCCCCCGGTCCAGTTGCAACCTCTGTGCAACTGTGAAGCCACCCCTGGGTGTTCTGCCCAGAGAGGGGCTGGGAGATGCAGCCCTCCAAAAAAATATGTGTCTATTTCGATGGTGATTCAGAGAGCCTGGAGGCTGAGGACCAGGCGGGCTTCGTTCTTTCAAACTGCGCCCTTACATTCACATAAAAAGATGATGTCCTTTCCCGGCCACACGTGCCTGGTATTTCGTATTTGTCCTCTGGGACATCAGTCTGAAAGCAGCGATTCAGCACCGACTGCAAAGCTGGACAGCTACTTCTGGGGACAGGAAGTGCCCAAGAGGTGTGAGGGTTCAAGTCATCCTGAGGGGATGTGACTTGCAGAACACCTCCATCAGACACGGAAGAGGTGTCACGCAGGGTTGGAGAATTAGCACAGCTGTGAAGAAAGCATTTTCCTTGCCCTTAATTCTTCTAGCTTCTTACAGCAACATCCCTTGAGTAAACTTGGCAGTTGGAGTGCAAGGTCTGTGCCTGAGATTGCAAAGTAAGATGGAGGAGGCAGGAGGCATTGTGGACGGGAAACACCAAGCCAAGTGCCTAAGCACCTCCAGAAGCATTCAGACTCTGCTGGGTTCCCTGGGGGAGCTCGGCCCAGAAGGGATGAGAGAACTGATGCTTATTAAGTGCCCTTCAGGAGGCTGGCATTTCACAGGATGGACTTAATCCTTGTAACAGCTTTGGGAAGTGAATACCACTTCTACCCCCATTTTACAGATGAGGAAACTGAGGCTCAGGGAAGCTTTTTATCACTTTCCTAAGCTCAAAGTTAGTAAGTGGCAGAGCCAAGATTTGAGCTCACCTCTGCCTGGTTCTAAAACCTGACCCCTTACACCCCTTCTTCCAATGCTCGGCCCTCTACCTGTAGGCTAGACCCTCAGCCTCAACGGCACTTAGCATTGCTAAGGCATCTGGACTTTGTGAAGTGCTTCTCTGTCCAGGGTAATGGTTCTGAGTGCCGACGCCCTGGGGTTGAATCTTGGCCTCATCCCTCATGAACTCAATGATCTCAGAAAAGTCACTTAACTGCTTTGAGCCTCAGTTTCCTTATCTGTAAAATGAGGATGCTATTAGCCCTTTCCTCAGGGGGTTATGGTGAGGATTAAAAGAGTAATTTGTGTAAAGTGATTGGAACAAAGCCGACACACGGGAAGTGCTCAAAAAACGTTAGTCGTCATCGTTATTCACTTATCAGGTACTAGTTAACAGGAAGTCACCACATTTGTCCTTTTATTCATTCATCAACAGTCACGCAGTACCTACTAAGTCTATTCTTCTAGATGCTGCAGATAAGACAAATTTCTCACTTTCCTGGAGCTTATATCCTGAGCATCCCAGCTCCGGTTTTTAAATTGAGGTGAAATTCACATAACATAAAATTAACCATCTTAAGGTGAACAATTCAGTGGCAGTTAGCACATTCTTAAGGTTGTGCAGCCAACACCTCTATCAAGTGCCAATACATTTCCAAAAGAAAACCCTGGACCAATCAGGCAGCCGCTCCCCACCCCCACCCTCAGCCCCTGGCAACCAGCAGTCTGCTTTCCGTCTCTGTGTCCCTATTCCAGACACTTCACATAATGGAATCATACAATATGTGGCCTTTTGTTTCTGGCTTCATTCACTCCCCATAACGTGTTCAAGGTTCATCTGTGTTGTAGCCTATGTCAGTACTTCATTCCTTTTCAGGGCTGAGTCATATTCCACTGTCTGTAAATGCCACAATGTGTTTATCCATCCAGCCAGTGATGGATTCCTCAGGTTCTTTGCTTCCCTCCGCCCAAGTCCTCTACCGGGGCTGTCACCCCTGCCATTTAGCCCTAGCACCCTTTCCTTGTAGCCCTTGCCTGGCCTCTCTGCTGCTCAGAGCACCTTGTCCGCCCTCTGGGGGAGTCAGAAGGTCACCAGGCTGCTACAGCTGAACACATGGTCCTTTTCTCTTGACCTTCTTCTTCCTCCTTACGGCTGCTACCTGGCTCTGCCCTCGGACGAGTCACTCTGTTTCTCTATGCCCCCATTTCCTCACCTATACATGAGGATAATGCCAGCACCTGCTCAGAAGGAGGCAACAGGACCGACGGTCTATTCATGATGTGCCGGCACAGAGCCAGCACTGGCTATGTTTACCCACCTTTGGGATTCGCTCATGCCCCTCCCGGCCGCGCATCTGCTTTGTCCCTCAAACTCTCTCCCAGCTCCGTGGGACCCCTGGAGACAAGCACAGGCACATGCTCACACATCCCCTCCTGTTCTAGCTTCTACTTCTGCCCAGAGGTTTGCTTGGGACTTTGGGGATGTTGCAAAGGGACACACTCTGGATTGCATCTGTGCAAAGTGCACTGGATGGGAGCAGAGCCTCGGTGCGGTTGGGGGTGGGATGGCGGGGCTCTGCTTCCCCCGCCCCCTTGTGCCCTGTGCTGTGCTTTCTGCGTCTCGCTGGGATGGGGAAGGAAGGAAGGCACAGAGAGATTTTTTTTTTTTTTGCGGAACGCGGGCCTCTCACTGTTGTGGCCTCTCCCGTTGCGGAGCACAAGCCCCGGACGCGCAGGCTCAGCGGCCATGGCTCACGGGCCCAGCCGCTCCGCGGCATGTGGGATCCTCCCGGACCGGGGCACGAACCCGCGTCCCCTGCATCGGCAGGCGGACTCCCAACCACTGCGCTACCAGGGAAGCCCGAGAGATTTGGTTGTTTTTACAGAGAGCTTTTTAAAGACCAGGTGGAACCACTGGGGGCCCTGATGGAACAATTCTCTCCTGGCGCGGGTGCAGCTCACCTTTGGGGCTGCAATATCCTCCCCCTCCTCCCCGCCTTTGATAAAAAGTCTCATGCTGGAGCCAGTGTCTCCTCCTACCTGGCCCCTTCTTGGATCATGGATCAGCTCCATAGAGAGAACTGCCCGCTCTGTAGCTTCTCTGTGTTCAGTGACATTTGGTAATGGCTTTACGGAATTCTTCTTAACCTGTTTTGGGAGTTTGTGTGTGTGTGTGT